AGGCCACTAGGAGTTGAAGGGTATCTTTTTCCCTTTTCTCAAACTCACTATGTAGACAAAAATAACATTGAATATTTGCTTCTTTAATCTCTAAACATGTATACCACTACACCTGACTTGAAGGGTAACTTGCCCATGCCCTGTCTCTCCTCTTTGCTTCCTGATTGCTACCATGTGAGTAGCTTTCCCTTGCCATGCCCTTCTTCCATGTTTCCTCTTTGTCACAGGCCCAGAGACAATGGAACCTGGTGGCATGGACTTAAACCTCTGAAGCTGTGAGCCAAAAATCTGTCATCCCTTGTTTGTATCAGTTATTCTGTCACAATGACTAAAGGTCTAATACAAAGGTACAATATTAATCAAGGAATTGTTCTTAAAAATTTACATCTCTCAAAAAATCTTCATGAACCCTTTCAATATAAAAGTACCAGACATCTACCATTTGGTATAAAATAACTATCACTGAATGATTCAAAGGTCTAAGTTGGGCTGGTGAGTTAGTGGATAAAGGTGCTTGTTGTACAAGCCTGATGATGAGTTCAATCCCTAGAACCCATGGTGGAGGAGAGAACCAACTCCTGACAGTTGTCTTCTGACCTCCACATGCATGTAGGGTGTGTGTGTGTGTGTGTGTGTGTGCATACATACAATAAATAGGTCTATATTTACATATTGTTTTGGTATCCACACAATATTTAAGTATTTTGACAGTTTTTCAGCAGTAAACTCAAAGGTGAACCATTTCATTTTCAAATGACATGTGGAATGAGCTGCAGTATAACTACTACCCTATGTTGGTCAAGTTATTTACAGTGTGTGGCCATCCTAAGCAGCATGTTCTGTAGAAACAACAGTATCAAGACAGAATTTTGTGAGGAAAATCTGTTTTCCATTCAACTCAGTTTTTTTCTTGCTAATAGTTCAGGCTTCTTCTTTTTTAAAAATAGTCTAAGGTTCCAATCGGTTGAGATGCTGCCACCTTCACATTAAACTTTAATAAGCTAAGCTTTTTAAGCCACATAAAAATTTCATCAAGCATTTCTCAACCTTAGGGAAAACGGAAGGAGGAAAAAAAGGTCAGAACATCACTTTCCACTAGAGTGTCATCTGGAGAGGGATGCTTTGAAAGGAGCCTCAACAAATGCTAGGAAACAAGCGCCCTTTGTGGATGGTGCCAGATGGCAAGTTTTTACTCCTTCATCACATACAGGCCCACTGAGGGTGCTAATTAATGCATGATCATCAAATACCAGACTCCTAGGACAACCGTGAGTGTCTCAAAGGCCTTTGGATGTGTCCCATTCAGCTCTAAGATTTCCATTGGTTTTCTGATTAAAATGTTTCTAGAAGAACTCCTGATTATCCTACTTTTGGTGTGTCCCATATGGCATTTAATAATATTTATTTATTATTCATATGGTATTTAATAATAGTAAGCCCAAATCTTCAATCTCTCTCTCTCTCTCTTTTTTCTTTTTCTTTTTTTTTTTTTTTCTTTTTTTTTTTTTTAAGCCAGCACTGATTCTCATTCCAGGGAAAGAGAAAGGGCTGTCTAGCACCTTGGCCTTGAATGGACACTAGGTACTCAGCTCTCCTGTCTTCCTTACTGCCCACCTCACTGACTCCCAACAATGTGCAGCAAAAATAAATCTTCAGCTCAGAACTGCCTACAGATCAGCCTGATTGTCCTAACCAAAACACCTGGAAAAAAGTGACTCCTGTCAGAAAGCCTCCAAAGCATTGTCTCCTCTATTTTAGTCGAATGCCAAAAAGAAAACTTTATTCTTCCTTCCAATCTGGCACCACTTGCTCTCAGTGGTAGGGTGGATCTCCCAAGCCTGGCTGCTCACAGGAACAGGCTGAGTGTACTGATCTGACATCTCTAGTATATGTCCCCAATGGCAGAACACATGTGTTCTTCTGTATATATTAAGCACCATGACTAACCACACCTGGGGTCATAAGCCAGTCTAAGAATGAGAAAAGAACTGAAAACAGTTTTTCTCTGATCATAACCCAAGCTAACAGTCATCATTACCACTACTTCACAGCAGACTCTAAACAACTGGAAACGAAGCACTTCTTAATACACTGGTTAAAGAAGAAGTGTCAAATGAAAAAAAATATACAAGGCTGGGTGTGTTGGTGTACAGCTGCCATCCTGGCACTTGGGGGCCGGAGGCAGGAAAATATAGAACTGAATGAAAGCACATGTCAAAATCTGTGAGGCAGAGCTTTAGCTTTACCACTTCTGAGAAATTTATAGCACAAATTACTTGCATTAGAAGAGAAACAGCTTGAGACAAATGAACTGTAGACTTGACTCTAAAATGTAATACATACTTTAAACATTTAGAAACAAGAAAAAAATCTGTGAGACAAAGAGCTTTTTACAATTGATACCAAAAGTACAATTTCAAGCAAACATATACAAATTAAACTTTTTATCAAATTTAGAAAATCCCACAACAATTTGTTTTGCAAGACTGTTAAAGTTGTTGAATAGACAAACTGTAGACTAGGAAGAAAGCATCTGCAAAGCACATATCTGATAAAGCAATACCATGTTTATATATACAGAGTCTAAAAACTAAACAGCAAAGTGCTGGAGAGATGGCTCAGTGGTTAAGAGCACTGGCTGTTCTTCCAGAAAACTTGAGTTTGATTCCTAGCACCCATACAGTGGCTCACAACTGCCTGTAACTCCAGCCCCAAAGAATCTGACATCTTTTCTGGACTCCTGGGGCACTGTATGCATGTGGTGAACAGACATGCATCTTAGCAAACTTATAAAATATAAAGAAATAAAATCTCAAAGAATTAAAAGAAGAATCCTCAACAGTAAAAGACAAACAATCTGGGAAGAAGGTGGGCAAGAGACTTAAGTGGATGTTTCACTGAAGTACTTGAAAAGATGATCAGGGTGGTGAGATGGCTGTCAGCATAGTGCCTGCTTTGCAAGCATAAGAACCTACATCTGCACGTCAGCATCCACAACCCTGGGTGCAGGGGACATCCACAACCCCAGGATACTCAATTCTTACCTCGGGCTTTCACAAATGTGTACATGTGCTTACATAGAACAATCATACATGCACATATGTAGGATGCTCAATTATGACCACTGGAGAATATACATTATAATAACAAAAGAAATGTTACTATAGCAAATTTTGTCAGGACATGGAGGAACTGGACTAGGCACACACTGCCATCAGGAATGTAAATGATGAAGTAAATTTGGAAAAGGCCATTAAAAAAAGAAACCTAAGCTATAAGCTATTCAGCAGGCAGTAGTGGCACACTCCTTTAACTCTAGCACTTGGAAGGCAGAGGCAGGCTGATTTCTGTGAGTTCGAGGCCAGCCTGGTCTACAGAGTAAATTTCAGGATAGCCGGAGAAATCCTATCTTGAAAAACCAACAAGAAGGAAAAAAACCCTAAATATTTACTTACATTGTGTCCAGAAGTTATATTTTTCTTCCAGGGAAATGAAAACTCATGGTCAGACAAAAATGTGTACACGAATATTCACAGATGTTTTATTAATCCCCCAAACTGAAAATAACTCAGCAATCCTTCAATGAGTGGGTGGCTAAGTAAATTATAGTGCATCCACACCATGGAATACTATTCACCAATAAAATAAGAGTTACCAATGTACACAGCTTGTAAGGACGTCAAGGGAAATATGCTGAATGAAGATGAAGAAGCCTAGCTCTCCAAGCAAACTATATACAACATTCTTTTTTGGTTTTGTTTTTATTTTTCAAGACAGGGTTTCTTTGAATAGCTCTGGCTGTTCTGGAACTAGCTCTTTGTAGATCAGGCTGGCATCGAACTTATAGAGATCTGCCTGCCTCTGCCTCTCAAGTGTACACACCACTACCTCCTGGCTCTACAACATTCTTGGAATGACTTGAAATGACAACACCAGAGATGGGGAACAGGTTAGTAGTGGTGAAGGATTAGGGGAATCTTTGGTTATGAGACAACAGATGAATGACTTTTTCCTTAAAGCTTGACTGTGGTAAGCTCATCAGTCAGCATGTGATGGAATCAAAAGAGGCACACAAGCACGTGCAGGAGCACAAACCAAACAGGACTGCTTTGAAGGCATCAGTGCCCTCAGTAACAGCAGTGGACCTGTGTATTACTACAGTTAGACAAGATGCCATGACTGCTTCTGATAAATCAGAGCAAGGTTACCCTAACACTTAAAAAAAAAAAAAAAAAAAAAAAAAAAAAAAAGAGCTGGCAATGTTGACAAAATGCAGACAACCTGGATGGAACCATGATGTCACACTGACAAGTACAAAACACTGGACCTGTGTTTCCTGAGATGCCAGTGTCAGGAAATAGAATAAAAAGATAGCACAACTGAAGGTAACCCACACCCTGGGATGTTCTTTGCAATCAAGGACACATCTGAACAGTGCTGGAGCATCTGAGAGAGCCTATAGGCTCTCTTGGTAGAAGAAATGTATCAAGCAGGGTGGTGGCACATGCCTTTAATCCCAGCACTGGCTACAGAGTGACTTAACAAAGTGCCAAATGGCAAGAGATCCCAGCAGGTGGATCTCTGTGAGTTCAAGGCTAACCTGGTCTACAGAGAGAGTTCTAGGACAGGCTTTAATGCTACACAGAGAAATCCTATGTGTGTGTGTGGGGGGGCAAGAAATGTATATTAAAAAAAAGCTCATTTATTGACTTTGATAACCACACTGTAGTTATATGAAACAATGCTTTCTTTCTTTCCTTTCTTCTTTACTTTTAAAACTGAAATTAAGTTTAGCTCAGACTGGCCTGGAACTCATGGTGTAGCTCAGCTGGCCTCAATCTCTAATTACAGGGATTAGAGGTGTGCACCACTGCCCCTGACATGTTTTTATTTTGTTGTTGTTGGTTTTGTTTTTAAATATATTATATAAAAAAGTATTTAAGCTGCATGACCACAGGATTCTCACGGATTATGGCTGGTTAGAGTACTGGTTAGCTCACCTGGTTCCTGTCGCGAGCATTTGTGTACCTGATCTTCTGAATGAAGTAGAATATGAGCCACGCTGAAGAAATAATCATCAAAACAATAAAGGATATTGACACGAAGACTAGAGAGCCACGGCTGAAGTTCTTTGGCGGCATTCGAGTTCCAACAGCTATTGTCATTTGTACAGAGATGTTTTTCTCCAGATAACTCAAAATATCCTTACCCCTCAATTCTGTTATCATGACAGCAATAATATCTCCCGTGCCTGTAATGTAAAACAAATACATAGACTCAAGAGACATCTGAAATTCATAGAGACATCAAATAAATATACATATATGTTCCCTAGAGAAATTATCACAATCTCTGCTAATGAGAAAGGTCTGCAGATTCCACTGGTTAGCTGACATGAGGCTGCAGCTGTGCACACTGACAGAAGTGGAAACATATGCAGTACTGCAGAAAACAGGTAAGGCATGTAACAACTGTAGTCCTAACAATGCATGAACAGCCTTGCAGCTGCATTGAGAAACATTATGAAGCCAGCCATCTGTGACTTAATCAGGGTGGGTCTACAGTATAAATCCTTTTCTACAGTAAAGGATCTTGAGAAAAGTGCTGTCACTTTTGGTATAAATAAGTGGCTCTTGCACTAATCATTCTAATATGCTTTGCTGAGCAATGACTGTGTGTAAAACTAGTACAGGGAACAGAGAGAAGCATATGCCTTAGGACACATGCCTGGCTACAGAGTGACTTAACAAAGTGCCAAATGGCAATATCATTTACTGGAGTAAAGCTCCTTCCAGAGCCCTTCTGGATCTGAAACTCACGATTTTCCCTACCCAATTTGGAGACAGCAGCTCATGTTCCCCAGGCTGGCCTCAAATTTGAATATTCTGTCTCAGTCCCCCACCATGTTTAACCATGCTCAGTGCACTCAAATCCTCTAAGCAGGCCCAAGTTTCAAACTTCTGGACTAGTATCCAGAATGGAACCCAAAGCCTTCAGCTTCTAATAACCATTCAGAGGCCTGTCCACAGATACAAATTATATAAGTTAATCACAAGGATGGTGCAGTTGTTTTTCTAAGTCCTTTGCCTACACGGTTTCCAGGGGCAGTAATAAGTCAAAACAATCAGCTACTCTCCAAGTACAGCATGGATCACTATTCCCCTTGTCCTCTAATTGGGAACAGCTTTCCACTTTATTTTAAGGAGGCAGGGAAGCTTCTCTACCACAATCAACTGTCAGCAACTGTCCTTTTCCAAGGGAAACTTAAGTGTGGCAACATGGAATTTTATAATCTATCTTTTCTGAAGAACCTAGAGAAAGATTGGAGGCTAGATCTTCCATTTTATTTTGGGAAAGAGAAAATTATAACCACTTATATGAATATGAAGAAGGGTTGTGCATCCCAATATAAAATACCCCCTAAAAACAAGCAAGCAGAATACCCCAAAACTTGACCATTTGAAGGCTCCTTCAATGAATATTAAAAAAACATTTATTTGGTTTTATATGTTTTGTTATGTTTAGCAGTTGAAATGACATGTAACAGAAACTCAGTAACAGTTTTAGGAAAAATGTAGCCCAATGAAATATATATTCATGTAGTACTGTATTCAAAACTGTTTTAGCCATTTTATCAGAATAGCAGTTTATAAGTTTTTTTTGGCTTAAAAAATCTATTAAAAAAACTGCAAAATTAAAGTTAGCGTTATCAAGTTAATACCTGCCTCTGGTCAGTAAGTTAAAAAGAAATCATAAAATAATGCTAAACCAGTTTAAATTTTCACTTAGAAACTTTAAGTTTGTGCTTTTACAATGTTGATCAACAGGCATAATCTGTGGTGTAGGATACCAGGTATGGCTATAAAGTAACTGAGACGGATCCCACAAATAACATATGACAATCAGTCTCATTGCTTTATAATCACACCAAGTACAATTGGTTTTAGAAATCAGTTCTGAGGTTCCCTCTTGAAGACTCAAGCTGGAAAAGTAGTGGGGACAGCTGCACAGGTAGCCAAAGGAACCAATCCAACAATTTCCTTAACAGAACACTAAATGGATGAGTCAACTAATCTCAACAGAAGAGCTGTTTGGGAAAGAAACATTTAATTAGTTCAATACCAGTCAATATTCACTGAGCATAGATCATGATCAAGGTTTTTTTTTTTTTTTTTTTTTTTTTTTTTTACTTATTTTAATTTTTACTTTCCTTCTTAAAGGATAAGGAAATTACCTGATCTTAACTGACATGAAAAGTACATCTATTCTCAGAAGGGCAAGAGAGAATGAATCTTGGTATAGCCTTATCCTAGCACAAGGAAGAGACTGGGAAGTGCTGGCAAAGGAGACTGAAAACGAGCAAATAAAAAAGTCACAGCAGTACATCCAAATACGAGTGAAGGCAGTGATCTGTTACAGACACTGATAAAGTGCATTGCAGACCCTTTCTCCCCAACACCTACAGCTGGGCTGGGCTCCAAGAACCTAACTTAAGATGGTTTAGACACTCATTTGGGGATGGAGGCTAAAGAGATGATACAATGGTTAAGAGCACTGGCTGCTCTTGCATAGGATGGGGCTTAGTTTCCAACACCCACATGGCAGCTTGTAACCACTGTAGTTCCAATACTAAGGGGAACTGACACTCTCTTCTGGCCTTTCAGAGCTCTTGAATATAAGGTGCAGGCAAACACACATATTTGAAAAAAAGGGTAAATAAACCTTAAAAATAAAACAATAAAAGATCTTGAGAGTATTGGCCCAGATTCAGGGGGGGTTATGACAGAAAAAAAAATGTAATACTCAGGAAAAACTCAGAATTAGAATGGCAGTGATTTGTAGGAGAGGATTCATTAGACTAGAATGATAAAAATATTTAGTTCATCCCCATACCTATGTTCTGCAACACCAAGACATGGCTTTGGAATTCTATGCATTTCAACAACCAGGCAGCTATGTTTTACTTTTCTATTGCTATGACAGAACACCATGATGAAGGTAACTCACAGAAGAAAGGAATTATCTGGCTTATAGTCCAGAGGGAAGAGTCGATCATAGCAGGGAAGCATCAGAGTAAACAGCAGGCATGGCAGCAGGAACTGGATGCCAAGAGCTCACATCTTCTTTTTAAAAACTTGTTAATTTTAATTTCAATTATGTGTTTATTTTGTGGGCTTGTGCATGTAAGTTGGAGCTGCCTGAGGAGAAGAGGAAGGGCCTGATGTGGATACTTGGAACTGAATTGAACAGAATGTGCTCTGAACTGAGTCATCTCTCCAGCCTTACATCTTGAACTGTAAGCAGAAAGCTGAAAGAGCAACAGTAAATGTTGGGAGTCTTTAAACTCCCAAAGCTGGCCTCCACATATACTTCCTCCAACAAAGCCACACCTCTGAAACATCCCCAAATGGCAGTACTCCATGGGGACCAAGTGTTTAAATATATGTACCTATGGAGGATTTTCTTATTCAAACCACCACAGATAGTATTAATTTCATAGGGATGACAATGAATTGAAGACTATTTTGATCCTTGCTTTTAGTTACTTAAAATTTTCTCCATTTTATTTTTTTAATTAAATATTTATTACTTAATTGTATGTTTATGTATATGTTTGTATATCTGTACCATGTTTATGCTGGTACCTGTGGAGGCCAGAAGAGGGTCTTGGATTCCCTGGAGCCAGTTACAGGCGATTGTGAGCTGTCCAATGTGAGTTCTGGAAATTGAACTCAGGCCCTTTGGAAGAGCAGCAAGCACTCTTCTGGGCTATCTCTCCAGCCCTCAAATTTATCCTTTTTAGTACCTTAGTGTGGCTACTTAAATTAGCAATTCTTTTCTTCTCCTTTTTACTCTAAGTTTCTTTTCTTTTTTTCTTCATTATTTTTTATTCTATATGCATTGATATTTTGATTGCTTGTATGTCTGTATGAAGATGTCTGGAATTGGAGCTATTCACAGTTGTGAGCTGCCATGTGGGTGCTGAGACTTGAACTCTGGTCTTCTGGAAGAGCAGCCTGTGCTCTTAACTGCTGAGCCAGCTCTCCAGCCCTAGTATTCTGAGAATTTTCAAATGGAACAGTTTCAACACTATGGGAACATTTACACACACTCTGTTTAGTTTTGCAAACAGGAAACACTTTCGCCTTTCTGCATGTATTTCTTTTTGCTGGACCAATTGAGAGCATATTACAACTAACAGGACATTTCAATCTTTAATAATTCAGCAATATCTACTAAGAATAAGGTTATTTTAGATGCTCACAATTTATTAATTCTACTAAAACTTATGTCAAATATTTTGATTCAGCCTTATTCAACCAGGGGCTATGAACACTGTCCCTGGCTATCTTGTCCCACAGTTTTCGTTGATCTAAAATAGTTTCTTAGTCATTTTTACTTCACTGTTTATGGAACTGACTTGAAAATATATAATTTTATTTATTCATTGAGTGTGTGTGTGTGTGTGTGTGTGTGTGTGTGTGTGTGTGTGTGTGTGTGCATGATACATTTGGAATGAGAGGAAAATTTGCAGGAGCTAGTTCTCTCCTTCCACCAAGTAGACCCCAAGGGACAAAATTTAGGTTGCTTGGTGGAAAGTGTCTTTGGGTCTAGCCAGTGCTGTTTTTGTTTTTCAAGACAAGGCTTTATATAGTCCAGGCTGGCCTCAAAACTTGCTACAGCTAAAGACCACCTCATGGCTAATATTCCTGCTTCCACCTCAAACAATGGGACTACAGATGTGAACCACCAAACTGCCTAGGTGCTGCTCTTGCTGAAGAGTCTAAGGCAGATATTTTGAAAATGCCTTTTTTTTTTTGGGCTCATCTGACCAGTTCCTGATGGATGCTCTCTTATTGTTGGTAAGAGTGATGAGGTAATCCTTCCTTCCTTTCCTCCCTCTCTCTCCAGGGAATCACTTCAGGAAGCATATGATGGTTTTACTTTTATTACTGATGGCAAACTTTATGACTTGAATTACTAGTACCTGTCAGATTTTATTATAAATAAATGTATTTCTATTAATTAATAAGCAATCTGTAGAGTAATACTTTCGGATCATGTGAAGAGCCAGAGTCTCAAAAAAGCTTTTACTCAATGCTCTCAGCATTCACTGATGAAGTAATTACTATAATGACATCTACCAAACTGTTATTTTCTAATCTCCAAAAGTGATTCTGTCATCAGAGCCATTTACAATATTTCATCTTCCCCACTGCCATGAAAATATATAATGAAGCTGGGCCTGGT